CAGCCTCCCAAAGGCGCGGGATTACAGGCTGAGCCACCGAGCCCAGTTTCCATATCTCTTAAATTAAGAGATTGCACAAACCAAGAGGGGATGCTGCCCCAGAAAAAGCTTGACAATTCACTTGAACATAGTGCTAGAAGTCCTGGCTAGATAAATTAAGCTATCAATAGAACTAAAAGGCATCCACATCAGAAAAGAAAAAGTAATATTTTCCCTAACAGATGATATGATCTTATATAGAAATCCTTAGAGACTCTAGTAAATTTGTTATAATTAATAAATGAGTTCAGCAAATTATTAGAATACAAAACCAATATAAACAATTATTTGCATGTCTGTACATGAACAATGAACTATCTGAAAAGAAAAATTAGAAAAACAATCCTATTTATAATAGTATCAAGAATAATAAACTATTTAGGAATATACTTAACTAAGGTGGTGAAAGATTTATATACTGAAAACTACAAAGCATTGATTAAATAAATAACAGAAAAAAATGAACAAAGACAAAATAAATGGAAAAGCACATTTTATGCTCACAGATTGGGAAACATAATATTTTCTAAGTTTCTATACTACCCAAAGTTATATACACATTCAATGTAATCCCTATCAAAATCCCAAAGGCTTTTTTAAAAAAAAACAAGAATAGAAAAAAAAAACCAAAATAATTCTAAGATGCATATGAAGCTATAGGACACGAAGTTGCCAAAAAGAAAATTCTAAGAAGGAACAAAGACAGACACATCACACTTTCTGATTTCAAAATATATTCCAATGTTACAGTAACTTACACAGTATAGTACTAGCATAAAGCCAAACGTTTAGCCCAGTGGAACAAATAGAGATCCCCAAATAAATCTATGCAAATACAGTGAACTGAATTTCAACAAGAGAGCCAAGAACAAACATTGGGGGAAAGAATAATCTTGTCAATAAATGGGACTGGTAAACTAGATATCTACATGTAAAAGAATGAAATTGGCCCCTTATCCTACATCATACACAAAAATCAACTCAAAATACATTACTGATATAAACACAGGATCTGAACTTACACTTCAAGGGCATTTATTGTGACAATGACTTTAGAAATTTGACACCAAAAGCATAGGCAGTCAAAGCAAAAATAAGCAAATGAGACTATATCAAACTAATAAAAGCGTCTGCATACCAAAACTAACCTACTGAAAAAGAGGAAAAATTTGCAAACTATATATTAGATAAAGAGTTAGTTTCTTCCATGACTCAGTAAACACCTATAACTCAACTCAATAACTCAACTTCTACAATTTAATAGTAATAAAAGCTTAACAACCTGTTTAAAAATGAGCAAAATATTTGAATAGATCTTTTTTTTCAAAAAAGGCATACAAATGGCCAAGTGCATGAAAAGATGCTCTCCATCACTAACCACTAAAAAAATGCAAATAACAATCACAATGGTATTTCCCCTCAAATCTGTTAGGAAACACACACACACACACACACACACACACGCACACACAGGTGTTGGCAGGTATGTGTAGAAATTGAAACCCTTTCTACTGTCCCATTTGTTGACAAGATTATCCTTTCCCCCAATGTTTGTCTTGGCTCTCTTGTTGAATTCTTGTACGTTGTTGCTGAGAATGCAAACTTATGAAGCAACCATGAAAAATAGTATACAGGTTTCTCAAAAATTTAAAACCTACAACTACCATAAGATTAAGCAGTTCCACTTCTGAGTATTTATTCAAAAGAATTGAGCCCAAGATCTTAAAGATATATTACAATTCCCTGTTGAGGGAGGTCTTTAGGTGAATGGTCCCAAGCAGTTGTAGGTAAGCTTCCTGATGGAATCCACAGAGTGGTTAGTAAAGTCTGAAGTTCTATTTCTTGTTCGCAGCCTCTCTCAACCACTGAGGTGTGCTGATCAGGTCAATTATCTTGCTGAGGCAAAAAAGAAGTGGGGTTCTTGAACTGCATTTAATATTCATAGGGGAGCTAAACAATCACCATGCTCATGCTCTTGCTTTTCATCGTAGGAGATTTGCAGTCCAAGAGGGTCTCTCTATAAACTGTGATATGCCATTTTGAGGGAGGATTGGCATGAATAAAATGTAACTGTTTTTCCTACTTCCTTCAATGCATCTATTCTTAGATTTTTTTTTTTTTTTTTGCTTTAATGATGTGTTGGAACTTTACTGAGCTCCTAGACACCCACCTGTTGGTTGTTGTCAAAATTGGTGCATCTGCAGAAGGGTTACAGTCGAAATCTTCTATTCTGTCATTTTGATAACAACATTTTCATCTAATCTATTGTTGATAGACATTTGGATTATTGTGCTTATAACCAGTTTCCATGAGGATTCTTAGGCCTGTTTCTTTGTGTGCATTGGAAATAATTGTTCTTAAATGTGAAATAGTTATGTCACAATGTATCCATTTGTTCAGCTTTCCTAGATTATATCAAATCATTTGTGATATCATCTAGAGTTCCTATTACTTCACTTTCTGTTTTGAGTTGGAGTCTCACTCCATCGCCCAGACTGGAGTACAGTGGCATGCTCATGGCCACCCCAGCATTGATCTGCTGGCTCTGGCAATCCCTAATTTTCAGCCTTCCAAGTATCTGGAACTACAGGCATGCACTGCTACCTCTGGCTAATTTTTTTATTGTTTTATTATAAAGATGTGGGGTAAAATTCAGGATTAGGTATACAAACGTTGATTATGCAGGTACCCTTATTAATGAGGTATGCCCCTCCTTCCCCAGCTGTTTCTCTCAACTTCAAATCCCATAACCCCACCCCTGACAGTTTCCCACTACTGCCAAACACTTGCTTATGGCATTATAATTGTTCAAGGTCCACTCATGAGTGAGAACATGTGATACCCTGTTCTGTCTATTTACAGTAGCAAAAACATGGAACCAACCATGTTGCCCTTTGAAGCTGGACTGGATGAAAACAAATATGGTACATATACACAATGGAATATCATGCAGCCATAAAGAAGGACAAACATATGGACTTTGTAATTTTTTAAAATTTATAGTAGAGACGAGACCTCACCATGTTGCTCAAGCTGGTCTCAAACCCGCAGGCTCAGGCAGTCCTCTCGCCTCTGCCCCCCAAAGTGTGCTTCACTTTCTAAGTAACATTTATTATTTTTAGACAATAATGTTTTGCTTGTCTGGTGTTGTGCAGTTGTATCTCATTTTGATTTTAATTTTAATTTAACTGAATTACCAATGACATTGATTATATTTTCTTTTATCTATTGGCCATTTGGATTTCTGTTTGGTGAAAAACTTGATAACATCTTTTGATCACTTTTTATTAGGTAGTTAATTTCTTATTGGTTAATTCATATTTTATGTGTTCTGTTTAAGTAATCTTTGCCCATCCAAAGCCATGAAAATATTCTTCTTTTTTTTTTTTGAGTCAGGGTCTCACTCTATTTTCCAGACTATAGCATAATCACAGCTCACTGCAACCTGAAACTCCTAGGCTCAAGTGATCCTCTCTTCTCAGCCTCCTGAGTAGCTAGGACTAGAGGCCTGCACCTGACAAATTTTAAATTTTTTAAAGAGACAGGATTACACTGTGTTACCCAGGCTGGTCTCTATCTCCTGAACTCAAGTAATCCTCCAGCTTTGGCCTCAAAGTGCTAGAATTACAGGCATGAACACCATGCCTGACCCTAGATATTCTTTTTCTTTTATTTTTTCAGAAGCCTTATTGATTTGCCTTAACATTTAGGTTTACAAAATATTAAAAACAGACTTTTGTGTATAGTGGGAGTTAAGGTTGAAAGGTACTGTTTTTCTATATGGAAATTCAATTCTTTCAACCCTTTATATTGTAAATATTACATTATTTTCACTGAATTGTAGTACCATCTTTATTGTAAATGAAGTGACAGTAACATGTGTGCAACTGGCTCTGGAGTTTATTTTCTTCCATTAGCTTCATTGTCTATTTTTGTGTCTATATCTACTATGGCTTTTAAATAGTTATGGGTCTGTACTGTATCTGTAAGATCTGTCATAGTATTGCTTTTTCTTTCCTGAGTCTGGTCATTTGTGATTCTTCTTTCTTATTCTTGATGTCTTGTTACATGCTTATCAATTATATTAATCTTCACAAATCATATATTAAGTATGTTGATTTTCTTTAGTATATGGGGAGACAGCCATGTAAACAAACACAATGCATTATCTGCTACTGAAGCTAAAATAGATTGTTGGACTTAATACTGTAGAGTCCAGAGGAGGGACTGGTGGGTTTTTCTTAGAAATTGTGTTTGGTCAAAAAAGGCTTAATAGTTTCACTTTATCTAAGTCTTGGAATATGAGTAATTATCTGTCTGCCATATTATGTTGTAAAATAGATTACAGACAAAGGACATTGCATTCAGAAAGCCATGAAGAGACATTAAAATGGCTGAGTATTTGTGCAAAATTGCAAACACTTTTTTTATGGGTTCTGTTTAGGTGCCAGTTTGCAGAGTTATGTATACAAGCTAAAGGAATTTTAGACTCTGTGCTCAAGGCCAGAAAATTTCTGTTTGTATTCTATCTAGCCCTGCACCCATCAACGCTCTGCATCCATTTCCAGAAAGAGAGGAGTCTCTGTTCTCATCAGAACAGCTCTGTTTTTGCCTGTTTTATTTTAGAGTTCTTCATTAGACTTTATTAGGAAAAAGATGTACTTTTGTACTTTTAGAAGAGCAAGCAAAATTGTGAATACTACAATAAGAAATAAGAAGACTAAATAATTTTAAACAGGAGAAAGATATGTAAAATAGATTAAACACCATGATGAAGTACAACATGGAAGGGTTATGTCTTAGTTTGGTCAGCTAATCTGTCTGACTTTTCAGGTGTAGTTCCCAACAAGGGTCAGTTTCCCATGGCTGGGGGAGCCCAGGAACTGTTTCAATGCACTGGTCCAATGTGCCGCTATGCTGAAGATCTGACCCCTATGCTGAAGGTCATGGCAGGATCGGGGATCAAAAAGTATGTTCCTTTTTCTCCTTTATTTACTCTGCCTCTTGTCCTGACAACCATTCTCTCTTTATTTCTTAGTGTCCTAGAGGTAAACTTTCAGTCCTCAAACAAAGAATTATTAGACTTTTTAATGATTGAGCTTTTACATAAATGGATATCATGCTTCACAAATTGGGAAGATGCTATGTAAAAATATTTTACTAAGAAAACACAAGCAAAGAGAGGCTTTATTTTGAGATGGAAATAGTTTATCTTTTTGTTGTTTATTTGTCAATTTGAGTATAAAGACGGATCTCACTTTAAATTGAGCCTTTCTGGTTTTTCTGTCATTTGTCACCATATACATATTTTCCAATCTCACCTGGACCATCAGTGATGCCTGGAAATCTGTTTCCATAAACAGCTGTTTATCACATTTTCTATAGCAGTAATTTCAATCTATTTTAATTTCCAGCAAACCTTTGATCTCTTCTTCTCCTTTACACTCAAGTAAATAATCCCACATCTCATCTCACCAAGAAAATGAAATATGTCTGGGACGTACTTCAATTTCTTATCATCAAACTTCCTAGATTTCCACCCATTCATTCTTTTATTTTCTTCCCTTAAACTGAAGAAAATGTCTTTTCTTTTGCTTTGCATATGATATTTTCACCTATACTCTGAATCTTATATTCTCTTACTCTTTTAGAAATTTTTTTATTACCTGTCTTACCTTACTATGACTTCAACCTCTCTCTCTCCCTCCCTCTCTCTCTCTCATATTTATTATTAAACATGCCTAAGTATCTCTTACTCTTAAAAGAGATAAAACTGTTTCTCAGTCTCACATCCCCTTAACGTACTACTCTATGCTCCTTTTTGCCTTCATTGCTAAATTTTTGTAGAAATTATTTATACTAATTGAGTCTAAATTCCCACATTGTCCTGCCAAATATCAAACCACTGTAGACTGTTTTTCGCACTGAAGTAGTTCTTGTCAAGGTCTTTGATTATTTGTTTTTGCTAAGAATAATGACTACTTTTCAATTCTCATCATTCATGATCTTATTATAATAGGTGACTACAATGACTACTCTTTCTTTATTGAAACAATCTCTGTCTTTGGCTTTTTAGATTCACATTTTAAAAATATAGCTCCTTTCTCTTTTCATCTTCCTTGCTGCCTCTTCTTCTGTCCATTCCTTATGTATTGATACTTTAGAGAGACTTGATTTACTTCCCCCTTCTTTTTGTGCGCATTCTCTCAGAATGACTTTATCTACATTTCCCACTTCAATTGATGTCCAAATCTTTATCTCTAGCTCAATCTTCTAACCTAAACTGCAGGACGATGTATTCACTGACATACTGGCCATCTTAGACATCTGAAAATCAGTATGTTTGATACAGATCTCATTTTTCTTTCATGTCGCACAAACCTAATTCACTACCTCTATTCTTGCCCCCTTTCAGTAACTGGGCTACAGTCAACTCAGTTGTTAAAGCTTAATTTTTCCATCTCTCTCACTTCTAACCTCTGTGCAATACTAAGTCCTATTAGAACTACCTTCTAATTATTTCTTACATATTTACATTTCTCTCCAACACCATGGTCACAATCTTAGTTCAGTCTACAACCATTTCTCACCTGGACTACTACCACAGACTTATTACTCGTTATTCCACCTCCAATCTTGACCCATTTCAAGTTGTTCTTTCCTCTGTGGCTCTAGTAATATTCTTGAATGCAAATGTAAATTCTAAAGGCATAGCACTGTTTCTAACACACAGTGCTAGGGGACAAACAAAACAAAACGAAGCAAAAAACCTTTATTAAAGCTGAAACTCAAATATTTTGATTGAACTAGCAAGCATATATAAATAACTTCCTGACATCAATTTCTTTTTAATTCTTCACAGATTAAAACTGGATGCAAAGGTAAATTTAAAGGACTTAAAATTTTACTGGATGGAACATGATGGAGGCTCAATTTTAATGTCAAAGGTGGACCAAGATCTCATTCTGACTCAGAAAAAGGTAATTTTAAATAATATCTTTTTAATAGAATTATATTCAGTCAAAGAGATGCCACTTTGACATTTTCCCTTTAGTCTCTGCCAAATATTTCTATGTCAGCATATAGAATTATGGTAACTGTAACAGTTGTATTATGTAATTTTTGGTGTGGTTTTCCATGGTTATTTTATTTATACTATGTTACATTTTATCTATCTATCTATCTATCTATCTATCTATCTATCTATCTATCTATCTATCTATCATCTATTTGAGGTAGAGTCTCATTCTGTTTCCCAGACTGGAGTGCAGTGGCATGATTGTAGCTCACCACACCCTCGGACTCCTGGGCTCAAGCAATTCTTTCTCTTCAGTCTCCCAAACTACTGGGCTCAAGCAGTCTTGCCACTTCAACTTCCCCAAATGCTGAGATTACAGATATGAGCCACCAGGCTTGTCTCGTAGTTAATATAGTTATTTTATTTTTGAGTAATTAAAAAGAGTACTTTGAGAGTAAAGTATGATAAAGCAAAGAAATAAATTGCTTAGCAGTAATTGTTATTAATAATTTGGCATATTTATTTTTAGCGGTTCTTCAGTCCATATGTAGATGTAAATTTTACATGGTTGAAATAGTATTATACAAATAATAATATTATTCTAATGTTTACTTTTAATACTTTTATGCTCAGATAAAATAATCAAACAAATTTTTCTTTTTAAAAGCAAAAATGTATTTGAAAAAGAAGAGTAATAAAGGGAAGAGCCTTATTCAATTTTAAAAGCACTTTTAAAAAAGCTACATTGCATTAACATGGGACACTATTTTAAAAAGGTACAGATGATTATTTGGAAACAATGGAAATGTATATCTCAATCCTCAAGAGAATCCATGTAGAAATTTACAGGAAGAGTTAGTAAAGTGTCTTAATGAAAGTTAAATAAACCCCAGTTCATAATCATGCTAGATTGAAAACAACTGGTAGAAATTGATTTGCAAGACCTATGAATCAGCCAAAACGTGTGAAAACTAAAGACAATTATAAATGTTTGTGCTATGAAAGATGGCTTTAATATTTTTGTCTCTGTTTTGTGTCACTATGACAAAATACTTGAGACTGAGTAACTTATAAAGAATAGCCATTTATTTCTCACAGTTATGATCAAGGTCTTAGTAGAGTCAGTGACTGATGAAGGCCCTCTGGCTGCATTCTCCAGAGGGGAAGAAAATGGCAGAAGGATTGAAGAGACAGCTTGCTGATGCTGCATGAAGCCTTTAAAAAAATATTCTTAATCTCAATATCCAGGGGGGCAGCCTTCGTAACTTAAATTACCCTTTTAAGGCTCCACTTCTTAATCCTATTGCATTGGCAACACCTAAGTTCTGGAAGGGATGCATTTAAACCATAGCATATGTGGATGCCTTACTGTGTTACTAGATTTGAAGACAATGCTATAAAAGTATACATGATTTTAAAACTTATAGGTAAAATGTAATTCAAGTAAAAACCCATTTAATGTTTATTCTTTTTATTTTAAAGGTGTGGGATACAATTCAGGGTTAGGCACATAAAAATGTTTATTTTTTTAACATTTAGTGGGAAAAGAGATAAATGAGATCAACATAGTAAATTATAAACATAGAAATAAACTTTTTAATGTTACTTTTTTGCAGATTTTAAGATACCTTCACATATCTTCATCAGTAACACTAGAAATAAATAAATTACAGAAAATATTGTCAATAAAAAGAATAGAGAATTATTTATCTTATATAATCTATGACCCATGATAAAAGAAATACCATCAAAGACATAGGAAAAGGAAAAAGGTAAATAATAAAAGAAGATATATAAGTGAATAATGGAAACATTAAAATGTTTTTGTCTTTTTTTGTGAGAAGGCAGAAGTTAATTAAGACAGAAGAGCTCCCAAGTGGGGGGGACCCAAAAGAGGGTTGCCCTAAAATGTTAATCTTTAAAAATAATTAATGAAAAACAAATTATGAGAATTTGAGACACTATTATTTGATGTATTGGGTTGATAAGCCATAGAATGCTTGTGGCGAAGCAAATTGGTACTTTTCTGTGAGGTTAGAGGGTAAATGCAAAATTATAAAGCCAGAAGCAGAAGAAAGGAGGAGAAAAAAGTGAGTGTATAGATGTAAATTAGTCACAGAATCAATTGATTCCTGACTCTGCCTATCTAAGTTGCTCTCATAGCAAAATGACTTCCCTTCTTAAACAGTAACTTAAGGAAAAAATGTAATAATTTTTCTATCTTTATTACCAAATTGTCTGGACTTTTTAATATTCTTCTCCCAAATAATTTTCTTTACCATATTTTCACTAAATTTTTTTACTACTAATATTAACTGGGAGTCTCAATGTGAATTATTAAGATACTCTCTGGAGTGCTGGAAGTAAAAATGATGTAGACTTCATCGACTACCAGCATCAGCTAGCAGGAAGAGCCACCATGGGACAGTTCAGATTGAAATAACATTTTAAAACAGCCACATGTTATAGAAGAGGAGGGTTGAAATATTTGTAAACCCATTCAGGAGTTTCATTTTACAGTGTATTATTTTAGAACAGCTTCTAGTAAAGTTGGGTTTATAAAAGGCAAGAATCTACAATACTGTAGTATATCTTACCAGTTGTTTCAATAAGAGAAACTATCACTTCAATATTTTTCAGAAAGCATTTTATAAAATTCAGGTGTTTATTTCTGATCAAAAACTTGATTTTACCATACTAACTGTACTTTTTAATTGTATATACATAAAATCTAGAGGAAATATCTTTAAAATCTGTGATAAGACAAGCATGCTATTTCTATTATAATTTATAAATGGTATCACAAAGAGAACTTAGAAATAGGAGGTATAACTATGACTAAAGACAAACTGATAATTATTTACAGATTAAGATATAAATATATTCCTACAAAACTCAGGGAATGCTGTTAAACATCTCTTAAAGTAAATGAGTTTAACAAAAAATAGGATGTAAGATGTATATGAGCAAAATTATAGCTAACATATCTTTCAGCAATAACCAATTAGAAAGCAGAATGGAGAAAGAAAAAAATGAGCATAAAATCTCACAAAATATCTACAGTCTTTAAAAGTAAATATATTGGATTTACCTGAGAAAAACTATAAAAGTTTACTGAGTACTAAAATGAGTTTTGAAAGTAAAGATAAATCTAATTTTATAGATTGGATTGTTGGTTGTTATGCCCCGTAGCCTATACAATCAGTGATTTCAATCTTTATTTTATAATGTTCCCAGGCACATGACTAAATGACATCACAGTCACAAAGATGTTTCAGAAGCAGTAACTGGCATGCTGTTCTGTGGAGTAATCTGTTATTGTTTGAATTAATTTATATATATATATATATATATATATATATATATTCAGTTTCTGTTTATTTTCTGAAAAGAAGGAAGGGGAGGAATATCAGACTGAGTGGTGTGTGTATCTGAGGAGGCAAGAGGACAATGAAGAGACATTGTTATATGATGGAGTAAGGATGTTCACCACCTCTACTTTGTTCAAGCTACTGATAGAAAGATACCATGTTTTGAGCCAGGCAGTATTTTATAGCAACTAAAATCAAATTGGTAATATTTACTGTGGAAGTTGATAAAAATATATTAATCTTCTTTTGCCAGAATAAAAAGCTAAGGAGAAATAATAACTTTTAAAAAGTGTATTTATTTATTTAATGCAGAATTGTGGAATACAAGTGAAAATTTACTACATAAGTTGGCTACATGCAGTGAAGCTTGGGCTTCTAGGTAGCCCTCGCTTTTCCTGATAGTCGACCAGGTACTCTTTGTATTGTCACGTTCACCCCATTCTTCTCCTCCCTCCCTCCTCTAGCAGTTCCCAGCAACTTCCAATCTCACACTTGTGCTAATGTGATTAGTGTTCAGGGCCCACTTATGAGTGAGAACATGTGGTATTCAGTTCTTTGTTTCTGTGATAGCTCACTTAGTATGATGGTCTCCAGTGGCATCCAAGTTGCAGTGAAAGCCATGAATTTTTTCTTTATGACTGCATAAAACTCCATCATGTATATGTATAATATAATATAATATAATTTAATTTAATTTAATTTAATATAGTATAAATTATCCAGTCCACTTTTGATAGGAAGCAGGGTTGGTCCCATGTGCTTGCTATTGTGAATAGTGCATCAATAATCATGCGTGTGAAGGTGTTTTTTGGCAGAGCAATTTATATTCCTCCAGGTATATTCCCAAGAGAGAGATTGTTGGAGCATATAGAAGCTCAATTTTTAGTTCTTTTGGAAATTGCCACACTGTTTTCCATAGAGACTGAACTAGCTTACATCCTCACCAACATTGTATGTTGACATGACAGTTTCCCACTACTACCAATCGCTTTCTTATAGCATTATATTGTTCAAGGTCCATTTATGAGTGAGAAAATATGGTACTCTGTTCGTTGTTTTTGTGATAGATCACTGAGTATGATCGACTCCATATCCATCCAAGTTGCTGCAAAGTCCATATATTTGTCGTTCTTTATGGCTGCATAATATTCCATTGTATATATGTACCACATTTTCTTTGTTCAGTTCACTTTCATGGGCAACATGGTTGGTTTCATGTTTTTGCTATTGTGAATACCGCTGCAACAGACATACGTGTGCAGGTATCTTTTTTGTAGAATTATTTGTGTTCCTCTGGATATATTCCCAATAGGGGAATTGCTGGATCATATGAAAGGTCAATTTCTAGTTCTTTCAGAAATCGCCACACTGTCTTCCAAAAAGGTTGCACTAGTTTACAATCACACCAGCAGTGTAGAAGCATTCCTTTTTCTCCACATCCTCTCCAGCAACTCTTGTTGTTTGTTTTATGAATGATGACCATTCTTACTGAGGTTAGGTGGTATCTCAATGTGGTTTTGATTTGCTTTTCTCTGATGATGACAGAGGCTGAGCACTTTTTCAAGGGTCTGTTGGCTGCCTGTATATCTTC